ATGGAATGAGCAGAACCTGAAAGTCCATGTTATGCTCAGGCAGTGCAAGCAAAGGTTGTCACAAAGGCATTGCTGTTCTCCCAAAACAATGACAAATATTTTAGTGGAATATAACAGCCCTCTTTTCCTTATGTTCCAAGAAAGAATTCTGTCTGCTCACAAATGAAAATATTCCTGATTCATTTATATTTGGATTCATCAACAGGAAAGAACAAAAGCTGACTAGCAAGTGACCCTGACCCTTGCAACATATTTTATTGATGTTTCCAAAACACAAAAGACAAAAAGAAGAAGTAAAGCTGCCATTTTGGTTGATTATTGTGCAGTGGGATTCTCTCCAACCCTGCTGTCTGCCAACCTATTCTGTGTTAAGTTCAAATGGAGGGTGAGCCAGAAAACGCTTGTAATTGTAATTAAAGTTTTTCATTAGTCTCATTGTTTCCTATTCATAATGAATGCAGATGATGCCCTGAAGCACTTGTCTGAGTTGGGACTTCATGGTCCCTGTTCACATGTCCTGAGGGAGCATATCTATTCCTCAAGAAACAGAGCTGAAGAAAAAGAGCTGTCTTGGACTTTAGCTCTTTAGTCCCACTCTGCTTATGGAGATCAGAGCACAATCTCAGAGGTCTTTTCCAACCAGGAGATTCTATGATTCTATGGTTACATGCACTTGGCAGTGGTAAAGAACTAATTAGGTCAGCAACTCCATCTTCTCAAGGCAGCCAGTGCATCAGTGTCTAGGAAGTCTCCACTATGTAACATAACATTTTGGATTGTTTAATTCTGGGGGCTCTGAAAGAGAAGTGAGTTGACACAGAAAGTCATCACAGTGTGCAGTCCCCACCAAGCATTCAGCTGAGTTTAGATATTACGTAAGTCATGCGGTGTGGGCCTGTAAGTGAGATCCCTCTTTTAGAGATGTGAGCCTCATCAGTCCTAAAATACACAGGAAATTTGAAGTTACTCATCCAAACCTTAAATGCAGTTTTCTATTCTTCTAAAATTAAAGTAGACCAACCAAGCAAAGTATGTTTGGCATCACTAGACAACAGCTTGAAAAACCAGGTCGCTTTTATTCTGCAAAGATTTTACTTCTAACACACAGCCAGTGCTTGCCATGGTGGTCTGTCTCTGCTGTTCTTTCTCTCCTGAAGCTGCTGTCCTACCAGTCACTGACCATCACACCAGAGCAGTATGCCCTGCATTGATCTGTGCTGGTAGCACATAAAGCATTTGGGGATCATTTGGGATGAAAAAGACCATACAAATGGATGGTATTGTTAGTACAATCTTTCCTTCCACTTGCTAAAAGCCAGACATTTAGTCAGAAAATCCATCAGCACACAACAACTAAGAGCTCCGCTGGGTCTAAATATTCCTCTTGTCTGTCTGCTCTGCAGAATTAGAGATGAGAGACATATGCAAGCACAGTGGGATGAGCCCACCCCCTCTTCCAACTGCATCTGCCTCTGTTTATGATTTTTGCTGCCAGCTCTGTTCTCAAGTGCTGTCTGCTAATCTAGTCACATAGCAGTGCCCTGTGGAAGTGCCCTCTGTAAATCAGCAGCGATACCTTAAATAAAAAGATGAGCAGAAGAGTCTGGATAGTTCTGCATAGAAAGCGTGAAAGCAAAGAAACCAAAAGCAGCGAAGAGGCTGTAACTGCCCCTTCGGGGTCCCTGCCTGGTGTCACTCCAACGATGCACCAGATTTCTGCCACTGCTGGATGTGTTTAGGAATCTTCATTCTGCACGCTTTGCTGAGACTTTGCAAGTTTACAGCAGTTTCTAATTGTTCTGGAGATGTATCTTTGTGTTTGAACTTAATGAGTCTGTAAGTCTATGATTCTGTATCGGTTGCATAATTTTAAGTACTTCTACGCGTGCTCAGGGGAAGGGTCTTCACCTGGGCGAGGGTTGTCTTAACCTATGGGTGTGATTTTGAGTATTATAATGAAGGCAGTTCACTTCAGGACACCCTAAAAGGTAAGTTTTGTTGCCAAGTTGGCCAGTGGGATAGTTACCTGTCCAGGTTGTTCCATAACTCATCCTATATGTAACCACTCCTGTATGTTCTCTCTGATCGAGGTCCAGAGAACAGGGACTTCAAAAAACTTCAAACAACACAGTGTCCTATTCATTATTAACTGATGAAGGCAAACATAAACCATGGTAACATAAGCCAGCTTCTTAGGTTAGGATGCCCCCCCTGTATTCCTGTTCCTGTAGGACCCCAGGAACCTCTGCTCCTCTGTCCCATGGGACCAGCACATCGCTGAGGAGAGAGGTGGAAACACTTTCAGCTCCCTGTTGAGATCCAGGTTGGATGAGGCTTTGAGCAACCTGGTCTAGTGGAAGGTGTCCCTGCTGATGGCAGGAGGGTTGGAACTGGATGAGCTTTAAGGTCCCTTCCAACCCAAACCATTCTGTGATTCTGTGTCTGCATCTGGGGATTGTCCTGTGCAGGGACAGGAGTTGGACTTGATGATCCTTGTGTGTCCCTTTCAACTCACAGCATTCTGTGACTCTGTGATTCTTCCTCCTTATGCATGCAGGGCATGTCCACGGGAAGCCTCTGTCTACAGCAAATACAAGCATCACTGTCGTGGGAGATGTGCCAAGTGAATAAAATGCAGTCTTCATCTTCCTTTTGTCATCTCTGTTTATCAGAATCAGTGGCCCTGACAGGCGTCAATAATTAAGTATATCAAGCACTGACTAGGACACACAGTGTACTAATGTAGTCGGAAAAAAGTCCCGACAGGACAATTTATAAACACAAACCCAGAGGATAAAACTTCACAGGCTCAGAACTCAATTTGAGACTCATTCCTTCAAGGTATAGAGACTGATTCGGAATCAGTGACAGCATAGGAGAATGCATGTTCCTGGCAAGAAAACTATTTTAATTGGAAAGAATTGTTAAACATACGGAATATGCAAACTAAGAACATTTTGCACTTTCTGTGACAGAATGTTCATTCAGCTGCTATAACTTGGCCAGATTTCTTAAAAAAAAAAAAGGAAAAAAGGAACAAAACAGTAATATTAGAAATAATACTTCTAATTAGAAAGTCTACAATGCTAAAAGAACACAATCACTCAGGTAATAGTGATACACTGAGGGCAGGTTGAATAATTTAATCCTCTGTTGGTCAAATACTGGATTAAGTTACAGCAAAACTTGATAAATGTAGAAATATTGTGTGAGGAACAAAACCTAATAGCTGCTGGGTACTGGAGGCTTAACTGGACTTTGTGGTGACTTAGTGCTTATTTCAGTCCTGCAGGTAGGATGATACCCTGGAGAACGAGCTCCAGGATGGATTAACACTTTCCCAAGATGTTTCCCAAAAGCTGTATAAAAGAAAAATGTCCAGCCCAAGGATGGAGTTAAAGGTTTTGAGAGGTTTCTGAGCTAGAAGATCACAACAACAAAAAGTCTCTTGGAGAAAGAGATTGATGGTAAAGTTATCTGGGGGTAGTGTTGTTCCAGACAACAGCTAAAAAAAACCCAAAATGCTCTGCAAAGTGATATGACTGTCAAAGTTACATGTTTCTCATTCATTTTTAACAGTAAACTTGGAAAATCTCAGCATTATTGTACATCCTTATATACAGGAATTGGCAAATCCCCTTATATGGGTCAGAAAAGACAAGAAAGGAGCCTGGAAAGGACATGACAAAGCTATCGAACAGAATAGGAGGTGAAATTCATCCTAGGAGAATGCAAACAGGTACTAGGAGGTATTCACCTTGCACATGGATGAAGGCTCAGAACTAGCAGCAGTCTCTTGAGAAGTCCTAAGCTCAGTGCAGACGTTCATCCATGGTCAGTGGAACCATCCTCCCACCCCTCCCTCAGCAACCAGAAGCTCTGCTAACACAATTCTGTGTATCTGCACTGGATTTTACAACACAGTTAGTAGATTTGGTCATCTTTCCTCAGAACAAACTGCAACAGGAGCATGAGGATGCCAGGGCTCTTTTCTACTAAGAGCTTAAGAGTGGGAGCCAGAATATGTAATTACAAACATTACAGAGAAGTTCAATTAGGTCTCCTGCTACACTCTTTAAGAATACAAGAATAACAGGCAGCTCAGATAATTAAAAGGCAAACAAAGACTTATACAATGGATCACTGGCCTTTGGAATTGGCTGCTGTGGCATAACATTTGGCTGAATGGGCAGATGAAAAGGATGTAGGCGTGTACAAACATCAAGAGTGAAAGCCAAGAGGTGATACTTTCTGAGGCTGACCAGTGCTATAGCTCATGATAAAGACCACAGTCAACCAAGGAAATCAGTCAAATATTTCCCTTTGAAGGAGAGCTTCCTATTAATAGGCACATTAGAAGGGTCCTGTAATTCCCCTTGCTCTCTCTTGCACTGAGCTCAGGAGTAAATTGGGGGTTTTGGATAATAACAAGAAAGAAAGACCACCCAGGGATGCCTGACATTACCCATACTCCACATGACTCTTATAGCAAGTGAAAAAGCAATTCACAGTGTGATGAGATTGTCCAGTCATCGCACTCTAGGTCCTCACTTGCATTTTATTATCATTGCAATGCCTTGTTTTAACTTCACGCACAATTAATCCCCTCGGTGAGAGAGGCAGAGGGAGGAGGAGGGAGGGTTTTCACAAGAAACCAGCTGTTGACAGGGAACTATCCTACAGGAGCCATAAAATAACGTGAATAGAGTTAGAGAAATAGCTGCTATAGGAGATCCCAGCAGGAGTCATCTCCTCTTTCCAATGCTGCATGCCACCTGGTAAAGTCCAGTCTTCTCTCCTCAGGAAATGATTTCCCTTGTGATCCAGCTTGACAGCTAAGCAGCATTTCCAGCCCTCCTCCCCTATTTTTGCCGTTAGCCGCTTTCTTATTGGCAATGTGGCAGCTGCCTCCTGCTCGGGGAATTCTGTGGGTCACCCAGCTCCCATCTCTGTTTTTCCCCTCACTCCTCCTCCCATTAACATGTTGTTACATCCTGAACACAGAAAGCAGATGAATAGGCAGCATAAATCACACCCTGAGGAGCCTGACAGAGAAGTTGCATTCCCACCCTCTGCATTTAAAGAAAAAATCCCAGAGTAAATGAGAGACTGTGGCTTACTTGCTGGGCTGGCTGGAGCACACTGGGCTTCTCCGTGTCCTCCTCTTGGTCCTTTTCTGAGAGTCCTTTCCCAGGTTGCTTGCATTTGCAGAGGCAGGTGAGACCGCAGAGGGCAAGGATGCTGGTTGCAGTCCCTAAGGTAGCCCCCAGGGCTATAACTGGGGCAGATAAAACCATCGTCCTGAGCTGCACAGGATTAAAAAGCACAGAGACCCAGTGACTCCTTCTCCTCCCTGGGAGAGCAGCTTTCACACATCCACTCCGATTTCTAGCCTGGCTTCATTCTCTTTGGAAGTCTGAAAACAATTCTCGTGAGCAGCAAAAGAAAGGGACCAATCTAGAGACAGAGATAAATCATCCCACCTTTGCTAGGCAACAAGGCTACCTTTCTATCCTGAGGATGGAGTTTCTGCTCCAGGTCAGGCAGAGGAAGGAGTGCTTGTGGTGCCTGCAATCTCCAGAGAGCTGCAAAGAGGCAGTTTTCATTGAAGCCTGTTCTCCAGCTCCACTGGGAAAAGTCTGATGTGTGATAGAGAGGAAAGACGTCAGCAGAAGGGGCTGGGCCTTGCTAGCTAACTCACAGAAAGTGCATCCAAAGGTTTGATCAGCTCTCGAGCAATGTTTCTGAGGGCTGGCTTGCTAATTTGCCCAAGAGATCAAATTTTTTCTGTCTTAAGGCAAAGATAATGATTGCCAAAAGGTGCTGGCCTGAGAAACTCTGTTATGATAGCACTGCAGGACAGCACCACAGAGCAAAGCCTGTGTGTAACTCAGGCAAAACTTTCTCATTCTTCAGAGGCTGGGGAACAACACACGTGCAAGAATTAAGCACTGTCCCACACCTCACCACCTGCCCCTCAAAGCACAGCGCCAGAACCTTTCAGAGCTGTTCTCTGTAGCATCGATGCAGAGCTGCAGCACTTCTATTTAAAAAAGACAGCAGAAAATCCCATCAAACAAGAGACACTGATGCATGTGCTGCTTCCTCCGGAGCGGACAAGAGAGCAAACAACATATGCTCAGCGTTAGTCATACTGCTCGCTACGCCGGTGCCAGGCGGTGGGCTGGCGAGCACAGCAGAAGAACCCACATGAATAGACCTAAAGGGCCACATGTCCATCTCCATTTCCTCTGGAGGTGATGGAGTGATTAACTTTCTCTGACTCATTTATTTTCACTTTGTTGTTCAGACTGCCCAGCTTGGGGAAGAGAAGAATAAATATCATCTTTTGATGTGTTTCTTGTGACACACAGAACTGTTTTCTGGGTACTTCATGAGGAGTACCTAGTGACCAGAAGATTATTATAATTCTAGGTCACTGTGTGTCTCCAGAGTGGAACTGGTAAGCAAGAAGCAAAATATTCTTTATAAAGCTCTGGAAAAAACCACTCAGTTCTGCTGGGAATTTCTTTGTCTTTCTATTTTGGAATAGAGTTGATGCCTGTGGATCAGGAAAAAAAAAACCAAACTATGTACACAGAAATGTTTAGAAATTCTGGGGTTTTGATCTTTCTGCAGCTCAGGTTTTGCCATGGTATTTTCTTGACTTTTTTTTTGATGTTTCACATCTTACTCATGACAACTCACTCAGCCTTTGTTCCATTATAGATGACTTGTTCACCTCCCTGCCACAAAGCTTTCCTCTCACGGTAATTGCTAAAGATTCCTCTTTAACACTGCAACATCCTTATGGATGCAGTGCACATTCCATCATCTTGCCTTCTCCTCATCCTACCAGACTTGTCAGACATGAGTCTTGCCCTCTGCTTCCAACCCACCCGACAGCCCATCAAGAGAATCACGATAGACTCCTCAAGCAGAGACAATCCCCCAGCACACTGCTGAGCCCATGGAAACTGGACTTTCAGCTCAGCCCACAGAACAAAAACCCTGAGCGTTGTCTTCTGTCTACACAAGAACATAGAGGTGGCCACACCAGGCTGGACCACTGCCACATCTCTCACCATGCTCAGTACTGGGAAAATCACATACAGGGGATTGAGAAATCCAACCAAATGCTCCCTTTGCTTCTTGCTCTTCCTGGCTCAGGAGCTTCCAAAGCCTTGAGCAGCACCCTTGTGCTTACCTCTGCTGATCCAAACTTTCTCTGAAACACCATTTGCTGACTTACCTAACAACTACTTCATTCAACCCATAGTTGAACAGGTGACATCGTAATCATAGGGCCACGAGGTCTTATCTTGAATTCCAAGGGTGTACATTATTGTTACGGACTTCCACCACCTCTCAAGAGAAACGGAAGAAAGCAGAGCCTGAAAGAGGACAAAAAGGATGGACACACTCTTTAGATGCCTTTGGTTTCCTCCACAGGATGGGTTCTTCCTCAAGGTGCTGATGAAGTCTAACACAGCTAGATCAGTAGCCCCTGAGGTTTGGAAACAGTATGAAAAGGAAGAAGGTGCTGTTAAGGGTAGAATGCATTGAGATCTGGAGTGGAGAAGGCATTCAGTCCATCCATGAGATGCAACCTACAAGCTGTTCTGAGAATTATACAAAGGCTGCTTACAACAGTCTGGGGAAAGAAAGCCACATCAAAATCTCTCTGCAAGACAATAATTTAATAGCATACCGCTCCAAGATGTTCTCTAACTGCTCATATATGAAGATCGAGTTTTCCTTGCCAGAAATTGTATAAGCTGTGAAACAGAAGATGTAGAGAATCATCAGCACGTAGCATATTTTAAGAATAACAGCCAGGCAGCAGCCTTTTGCTGCTACTGCTACAAAAACAAACCAGCTCTTGCTAAACATTGAATATTAGCAATGTGAGAGCTTCTATAAGTGACAGGCCAAAGACTGCGGGATTTTCTGTGCACACTGATGCAGATACAGATACATAATTTAACTGCAGCTTTGGCACACACCATCACTGCATCTATCTATCATGGTTGCTTTTTTTTAACACATCCTGTGCTAAAAAAAAACCAAACCATAAATACATTTCAAAGTCAGCTTTACACTTCCTTGTTTTAACACCCAATATTTTTTTATTTTCTTTAAAGCAGTAGTAGGCGACAGTGGGGCCAGACTAATGACCTTTCTAATTGTCCATTCACACTGATATTGTCCAGAATCACAGAGCTTTTTTTATCTGTCATTGGAAAGAGACTTGCCAAGGCAGACAGATGAAAGCCTGGTTTTGCAAGCTAAACTTTATGGGCAGGTTCAAACCTGACAACATATTTTACAGTCACTCTATCCACCTATTTTCTCCAGATTCTGATACAAGACATACATAAGAATGACAAAAGCAACATAAGCATATATATATATATATATATATATATACACACACACATTGTTTTCAGCTCCTGATAGTTCAGATATGAATATTCTATGCTAACAAAATACAAGGCACTGGCCAACCTTTGGTACTTATAAAGTCTTTATTTCTGCTTTGAGCTTTTCCACTGATATTTCAGCTCTTTCTCTCCATCAGCTGTATGAAAGAGGCTTTCCCTGAATGAGGAACTGGTAGTACAGATCACATGGAGAATTACAAGAGCTTTTGCATTGCCTGGCTGTAGTTCATGCCTTAGCAGAAAAAAATCCCAACCCTTTAATGCAATTGCCAGCCACTTGAATAAGCAGGTCAGGGATTTGCAACTTTTATTCTGGCATAAGAAGACACAAATTAAAGTTACAGAATCCCTCAGTATCACGAGGAAAAGCCAATGTACATCGGAAAGAAAGATGTTTTTCAACTTTTAGGAATTTTTGATGAATGAAGATTTGATTTTATTTATAATGTGTAAGACAAAAAGGTGTTCAAACCTGGCTTTTTGTTCATTTAAAGGTCTGTTTTGGAGGAAAGAGCAAGGTTTTTGCAGCCACATTTTGAATGAAGAGATTGTATGTAATTCGAGGCTGAAATTCAGTGTCATCATTAGCTTCAGGAGGTATTCTGTAACATTTATAAATAATTTGAGGATATGCCCTATTAATATTGAAATACTAAACTGAGTAACAATAAAAGGACTAAATTATAAGAGATTCTATGAAAAGTAAAATCAACTGTGTTGTAAGGAAGGAAGAAATTTTTTATGATGAGGGTGGTGAGACCCTGGCCCAGGTTGCCCAGAGAGGTGGTAGAAGCCCCATACCTGGAAACATTCAAGGTCAGGTTGGACGGGGCTCTGAGCAACCTGATCTGGTTGAAGATGTCCCTGCTCACTGCAGGGGGATTGGACTAGATGGACCTTTAAAGGTCCCTTCCCACCCAAATTATTCTATGATTCTATGATTCTATGGTTGCAGACTATGTTCCCTGACTCAGCCCACTCTGTCAGAGGCTGGTATTTGTCAGAGATACTCTGATTTTCACCAGGCAGAACTGTGAGTTAACAAACGGAAACGGGAAAGAGGTTTTTTTTGCAGGGAAATCCTTGTAACAGTCAGATTTAGCCTGAAGGTGTAAGCTCATGTTTGCACTTGTGTTGACTTGTTATGAGATTCTGTGCTACAGAAATGAGACAGTTTGAAGAGGATGATGGTCTAAAATAGCTTGCTAGATCATAGCAAGATGTTTGCAGCACCCAACTTGGGGCACTGAAATAGCCAGTTAATGACAGAAGACCACATAGGGCTGTCAAGCATTTCTTTAACAAGAAAAGAAAGTATGGTGAAAACAAAAGTGAAGGTAAAAGGCTTGTGTTTACAATGACCCCATCTACCTCCTTAGGCTTTTTTATGCTGTCACCTCAGGTTGTAAATGCTTTTAGAAAGGGATTTTTGTCTTCCGCCAAGTGGTGAAGTATGACTCCACCAGATGATGAAGTGTTATTGACCACTGAAATAATATTTTGCAGTGCTATTAAGATAAAGCAGTTGTCTCTACATATTTATATGAAAAAAAAAAAAAGAAAAAAAAAGAAGAAAATTTGTGAGAGGAATGTGGGCTTGGCCCCTCCATCACTGTCATTGAAGCAGACCTGTAGGTACAAAACAAGTAAATCAAGTAATTAAGAGGAGAACAAAGAATCATTTTCTAAAAGGGAGATAGACAATAGTCAACCTCAAGAACATGAGCTTCAAGCTGTCATGTTTCAGCTGATCACAGAATCACAGAATGGTGGGGGTTGGAAGGGACCTCTGGAGATCATCTAGTCCAACCCTCCTGCCGAAGCAGGTTCCCTACAGCAAGTTGCACAGCCTTCATCCAGGTGGGTTTTGAAAATCTCCAGAGATGGAGACTACATCTCGAGAGGTGGAGTAGGTGATGTTAATGGATATATTGCTCCTGAAACCTCCAGCCTTATGGAGTCCCTGGTAGCTGTTTGCCACTCTGCTACCCTCAGGACGATGCAAAGGATTTAGCGTGCAAAAGGGTACAGCTATTTACATGTGTGCAGTGTAGGGTTCATGGGAAATGACTCTGTACTGGGACACTACACTGTCCTGAGACCAAGATTGGTGGGATTCAGGAGATCTATGGAAAAAATCTGGCTATGTACCTATCTCAGAAGGT